CCCTACCGGCTGCGGGGAACGGGTTAAGCGCGCCGGCTCAGTGCCCAGCCCGCCCCGGTGCCCGCCCGTGCTCAGTGTGCCTGGCCCCGTCTCCCCGCGGGCCCTCCCGGTCCCTGTTACGGGCCCTGCCTGGTCCCGCGGGAAGCGCTTGGCGGGTCATTGCCGTTCCCRCCCGGCTCTGCTGCCTTCCGGAGCCCGGGACAGCCTTGCCCGGCGTGGCCACGCTCCCCGATGAGTCGCCCCGGTGGTCCCGGGTCCCTCTGGCCCCACCGCCGGGCCTCCCTGTAGCGGCGCCGGGCAGGAAGCGGTGCTGGCGGCAGCTTTCCTGCCCCGGGGGCCCTGGCGCTGGGGAGCGGACGGAGCTGGCTCCTGCCCCGGCGGGGGCCCCGTCCGTCCCCTGCCCGCGGTGCGGAGCGCCGGCTGTCCCGGGGCACCCCATCCCCGGCCCCGGCGGGGTGACTGCGGGAGAGGAGCGGGGCCGGCCCGCGCCCGCAGCCCTGCATGCCGCCCGCATCTGGGAGCTCCGCTGAGTCAGGTGCGGCGGGRGCCCTGCGTCCCCCGATCTTCCCGCTCGGGAGCGGGCGGGCAGCACTGGAACCACCCGGGGATCGGGATAAATGCCCCGGGGAACCCCAGCCCGGGCGCAGTGATTCCAGTGGTGGGAGGATGAGGATGCTCTGCGGGTTACGGCTGCCCTGCCCTCCACAGCACTTACAGTGAGSTCTCCAGCTGCGCCCAGCTGTTGACCCAGCTGTTCTCCTGCACTGGCCCGGAGCCATCCTCTACACCTTCTTCCTGCAGCTCCACGCTGAGTACTTCACTAACTGCACAGCAGCCAGGCTCCCCAAGCTGGGCAGTTGGCCCCCAGTGTGGCTGTGGCCRTGGGGCTTAGCTGCCTCTTGCCCCTTGCAGCTGCCCTCACACTCAGCAGAGCCCAGAAATGAGCTCAAACCCCAGAGAGAAGCTGCCCATCTCCTGCGCGCCCCCATGTCTGTGAGGGGCCAGTGACAGTCCCTTTCCCTCCCAGCCCTGGCAACAAATGAGCGGGAGGAGATGACAGAGGGTGAGGGTGACAGGGCAGAGCAGAGATGGGGGTTTGGGAGTCCCTGGGGTTGGGGWGGGTCCCATGGCACGGGTTGAGGCTGGGCACGGGGCTCCAGATGTCTGCGTCTGCCTGGGGGGAGCACTGGGAGAAGAGACCCAGGCAACTCACCCTGCATGGGCCAAACCCTTTCCTCGACACTCCAGGTGGGGTCTGGCAGGGAGCGCCGGGGATGCCAGGCTGGGTGGGGAGCCCAGGCCCTTGGCAGGCAGCCACCGTCCTGTCCCTGCCCATCCCCTCCGGACGCCCCAGGAGGGGGGCGGCGGTCCCAGCCCTGCGGCCGCGCTGAGATCATTGGGTGTCTCCCTGGCAGAGGCTCCTGCCACCCGGCCGGAGGCTCTGCCGGCTCCAGGACCAGGGGCTCCAGCCCTGCGGCCACAGCAGTGCTGGGGATCACTTCCAGATGTGGCCACTCACCCACAGGAAGGTGCCCGGGAGGCATCAGGCAGCTCTGCCAGRACCTCTGACGGGAAGCTGAAGCCCAGTGAAATCCACAGCAGGGAGTGTTCCTCCGAGCTGCTCTTCACTGCACTCCCAGCTCTGTCAAAGGGGAGGCTTTGGGCTGCACTCTGCTCCGGCCAGGCGTGAAAGGAGCTCACCCAGCCTCAGCCAGGTCCTGTGTGGRAATGCCGCACACCCGCGGGCTGAAGTCACCCTCAATGAGGGGCACATGGGCCCCCGGGCGGCAACTGCTCCAGAAAGGGGGGCTCTGGCAGAGCCAAGGAGGCGCCAGGCTGGACAGTGCGGGAGGAAAGCACTGGGGCCAAGGACTGCCAGGGTCGACCAAGAGTCTGCCCTCTCCCCACCTCCTCATCACCCTTCCCTCCTTGGCCACGGGCAGGAGCTGGGGCTGCCCGGCGGTGCCGCCTGTGGGGCAGGTGCCCGGGTGAAGCAGAAACTGCAGMACAGGGGCCGTGGGTCCCCCTGCCGCCCCCATTCCCGGGCGGCAGCGTCCGTCCGGGGACATTATGCTTTCCCGTCCACTCCCCCCGCTGCTGGGCTGCCTGCCCTCCACGCAGGAGACGAGGGATTTCACAACCCAGCCCAGACAGGATTAAAGAGAAATACACAAGTAAACAAATCGCGGCCTCGTAACGCTGGACGTGCCGTGCGGGGAGTGGATCCTCCAGGCCGGTGGGTGAGGCGCGGGTGTCCTGGGTGCCGGGGGTGCGGGAGCGATGCCCGCGGGGGCCGGCAACCGCACGGGAGAGAGCGCAGTGTCCCGCCGGGAGAGCCGCTTCAGAGCAGCACTGAGCAATCTCATTTTTCACACGTCTCCTGTAGTCAAACTGCCCCTGTCAGAGGAAAGGAGTTGCTTCCTGTTATTTCCATTGAAATCCTTGTCCCGGTCGTTAGCCGGCAGGCTTTGGCAGGATGGCACMGCGCGCRCACATGAGCTCCGGCCGGCCGTCCCAAGGGCTCCTGCTGCTCTGGGGTAAGTGCGAGGGGGGCGGCCCCGGGGGCTCCGCACCCCGAAACACCCCGCACGTGGCCGCCCTCCCACTCGTGGGGCCTGGGGCYGGGGTCGTGACTCAGCCCGACCCASAGCCCCACCCCAACATGTGACCAGCCTGGACACGCTGAGGTTAGCGGGGACAGCCACTGCTGGCGTGGCCAGGGGGCAGCGGCAGGTGGGCACCAGGTGCTGTGGGGCAGCTCCCACCACGCTYATCTGCTATCCAGCCCTGCAAGGACCGGGGCTAGGACAGGAGCTGTGGCACCACACATGCCCAGGCAGAGGGGCTGGATGGGGCTATCAGGGACAGAGATCAGGACAGGGTGGGCTGCYCATATCACAGCCAGTGTAACAGCCCAGGAGCACACTGTGGCCAGTGCCCAGCTGTGCCGGAGCTCCCTATGAGCAGCCCAGGCAGGGCCCACTCAGGCAGTTCACTGCGGAGCCAGAATCAGTGCCTGACACTGCAGGCCCTCAGCCAAGGGCAGAAGATGGATCGGGCAGTTTCCTTGGGCCATGGGGCTCCCGTGGGCCAGGCGAGACGTGCCCCACGCCCTTGGCAGGCTGTGCTGGGTGGGACTGATGGCAGGCGGAGGGGCTCTCCAGCAGTTCTGCACTGTGGCCAGCGCTTCCTCTTCCTGCCCCAGCCCTGTCCGGCTGCAACGCAGCACCACACTGGCTCCCCATGGGTGGAGGTCCCAGTTTGCCCCCGTGCTGTGACCATGGCCCAGGGCCCGTAGCCTCTAAACAGCCCCTCTGAATCTTTGGACAGCTGCCTGCAGCCTGGCTAGCCCCTCCTAACAGCCCTGGCCCATACGGGGGGCTGGACGCTCTAGACCCCAGCCTGTGCCGGGCTCCAGGCAGCTCCCTGTGCCCCGCTTGCCTGCTCCAGTGTCCCCTGAGGGACATCCGAAAGCAGTTATTGCCTGTAGACCCCACCTCTGCCCGGGCAACTCCTGCCTGTAGGAGCCCTGTCAGCACCCACTCCACCCCACCCTATGTCTCCTCTCATCCTGTGTCCCTCTCTCTGCAGTGCTCCTGGGGACTGGCCTTTGTCACACGGAAGATGTGACAACGAGCTTCGAACAGGACACTGGGACCACCGGGACAGTCCCGCCCATGGGTGAGTATTGGCGCTCAGCAAGGGCGGAGCAGCATTGTAGGGCAAATGGTGCCCTGGCCAGGGCTGGGCCTGTGCCACAACATGACCCCTCCTTTCCCCTAGCCATCCTGTAAACAGCTGGCCCAATGCCATGAARCTCTCCTGGCCACTGCCAGCAGCAGCTTACCCCTCCTTCTGTGCCCCTGGCATTCCCCTGGGCTGCTGCAGGCTCCAGGCAGCACCCCAGGGCTGCTGGAGTGTCCATCCCTCACTGTGCCCACGTCCCTCCCACTGGCCTGGGCAGAGCTCTGGATGCCAGGTACCCCCTGGCAGCAGGGGCAAGCAGGGATGCACTGTGGGCAGAGGCAATGCTGCCCGTGCTAAGCACCTTTCCTCACAGTGGGGAATTACACCGACATCACACGGCATTGCTGGGAGTATTTCGTCTACCTGATGAGGAATGTGGCAACGTCCGAATTGTGCGAGTGGAAAGCCATCAGCAAGTATGGGGCAGCACAACCTTCCCCTAAAGCACCAGGGGGCAGGGGCTGGGCAGWCCAGAGGGGTRRTSCTGGTCTRGGGTCAGCCCAGRGGGGCTGGGCAGTCCAGAGGGGCAATCCTGGTCTGGGGTCAGCCCMGRGGGGCTGGGCAGTCCAGAGGGGCAATCCTGGTCTGGGGTCAGCCCAGAGGGGCTGGGCAGTCCRGAGGGGCAATCCTGGTCTGGGGTCAGCCCAGAGGGGCTGGGCAGTCCRGAGGGGCAATCCTGGTCTGGGGTCAGCCCAGAGGGGCTGGGCAGTCCAGAGGGGCAATCCTGGTCTGGGGTCAGCCCAGAGGGGCTGGGCAGTCCGGAGGGGCAATCCTGGTCTGGGGTCAGCCCAGAGGGGCTGGGCAGTCCAGAGGGGTAATCCTGGTCTGGGGTCAGCCCAGAGGGGCTGGGCAGTCCAGAGGGGCAATCCTGGTCTGGGGTCAGCCCAGGGGGGCTGGGCAGTCCAGAGGGGCAATCCTGGTCTGGAGTCAGCCCAGGGCGGGTCTGTGCCTCTGGTGTGCCATCCCCTGTCACCGGCCCGACTCTCTTCCCAGGCCCTACAGCGAGCTTCAGGGCTGCCTGGAGTTCTGGGCCGACCGCCTGAACTACAGCTACCCCAACGCGCTGGCAGAGCAGTACATCTTCCAGAGCCATCACCGCTACTTCCACAACTGCACCCTGGAGCACCCGGTGTACAGCGACCCGCCCGAAGATGTGCTCTTGGCCATGATCATCGCACCCATCTGCCTCATCCCCTTCCTCGTCACCCTGGTCATCTGGCGCAGCAAGGACGGCAAGGCACAGGCCTAGAGCTGCCGCCCCGTCCCGCGTCGGCGCACGGACCCCCGGCACGCCCGGTGGGCTCTCGGGGCCACCAACCCGCGCTGCTGAGGCGGCCGGTTCCTCCTGCGCCTTCCCCAGCCCCGCGGCCCGGGATTAAACGCTTATTCCCCCACGTTTGGCGCTGGTTCTTCGGCCGCTCGATCCCTCCACGGCCCAAGCTCGGGCCAGCTCCCACCTGCAGCGCCCCCACGGCACGGGCCCGCCCGCGTGGGGAACGCGCCCGGCGGGACAACGGGATCGACACCGGGATCAACACCGGGCACCGGGACCGGGCACCGGGACCGAGCACCGGGACCGGGACCAACACCGGGCACCAGGACCAGGCACCGGGACCGGGCACCGGGACCGAGCACCGGGACCGGGACCAACACCGGGCACCGGGACCGAGCACCGGGACCGGGACCAACACCGGGCACCAGGACCAGGCACCGGGACCGGGCACCAAGACCGGGGCCACCGCCGGCCGGGAGGGGCTGAGGGCTGAGGGGCGGGGGGCGGGGCTAATCAAAGAGGCGTGGCTTCACGGGGGGCGTGGCACAGAGATGGGGCGTGGTGG